GAGGTCCTGCCCAGCCGCAGGCCGGTGACTGCACCCCCACCACCCCGGGCCAGCACGTCGCCTGTGGGCCTGGGAGGCCCTGGGGACGTTGCTGCCTCTGAGCTTAGCGCCCCTCCTCCGCCGCAGTCCTCAGGGAGGTCTGCCTGGCACAGCTGCCCCCGGCCCGCTACCCCCGCCCCGTGTGCCCTCCCCTCCCCCCCGCCGCGGACCGACGTGTCTGGACCCGTGTTCTCTGCCGCAGTGGATGGAGGGGTTGCTGTGGGCGCCCACAGTGTGTCCCCAGCACCTAGAACAGCGCTGGGGGCGCGGCAGAAAGCGCACGTGGAGCTGGTAGCAGATGAATGGCCGGCGGCATTTCACACGCACGTCCGTTTTCAGAGGGTTTTTGCAGAGAACCCGAAGTGCTCCTCTCGCTCTTAAGGTTTTACAGTTCTGGTTCTGTCTGGTCCAGAGCCACATAGTCGCAAAACAAACAGCCTGTCGTGAGCGTGCCACCGAGTCGTACAGAGAACCTGTTTTGGCGCGTGTGTGTGATTCTGTGATTTCCCCAACACAGGAGAATCCAGCTTTGGCGGTTGCAATTAAAACATGTAAAAACTGTACTTCGGACAGCGTGAGAGAGAAATTCCTTCAAGAAGCCTGTAAGTTTCTAGAGATGTCTGTGGAACTAACTCCATTTGACTTTCCATCAGTGAAATCCAAACTGTCTCTGAGGAAGAAAAAGAATGTTTTGGCTTTTATGAGATAACTACATTTTTCTTGCCTTGTAAATTAATACCTGTGTTCGTAGAGGCCAATATCTACCTACAGATTTTTCCAGGTAAGCCCTGGGGTTTGGGGTGTAAAGGTAGATTGACTTGCCGTCTGTCCCTTTATCCTTCGGTGCCTTGTACCATTAAGCTTCATGCCGGAACTGGGCACTCGTAGAGATGGTCCTTGCCCAGGTGCCGCCAGCGCTCACAGATCAGGGAGGAAGCAAGGACCACGTGACAGTCCCCTCCTCCCGCTGCAGCTTCCCCCTCCAGGGCTCCGGCTCACACCTCCCATGAGGAGCCCCTGGGGAGAGTCCCGTGTGACTAGGTCTATGTGGAGCGTGGGCGGGCTCCTGTCTGTCTGGAGCCCTCAGCTCTTTCCCACCTGCCCTCAGGCTGGCGTGCCCTTCCTCCTCTGCATGGCTGTCCCTTCCCCTCTGACCACATAAATCCTCTTTCCTCAGAAAGCTTTGTCACAGGCCCATGTCCCTCCCTTCCTTAAGTATTCATAGTTAAATATGCACTGCTCCAAAACTATTATTGTCTCTCCCTCCCACTAGAACTTAAGTTCCATGGGGTCAAGGACCATGTCTGTTTTGCTCACTGTTCAGACCCAGTGTCCGGCACGGGGCTTAACGTGTAAGAGGCTCTCGGTAGACGCTGGTTGAGCGAATGAATCTCAGTGTCCTTCATTCCTTGTGCCTTGAATGACTACCTTCTACTCTGTTCCCATAAGTATTCACCAGGTGGCAATCTGATAAGTTAATAAGTCGGAGAGGAAATCATATTGTAATTTCATCAGTTAGGTCTACGTGTATGCTTAATCCCGCTCCTGTGTCTCTGGCCTAAGTCCAAGGCCCGGCCCGGCAGTGACTTCTGTCCCAGCTAGTTTATTTCTGTAGAGCGTTCAGGCCGAGAAAACACAGACGGCACCAGCCGTCACCGCCCAGCACCCTGCTGGGGAGTAACTGTGGACACTGTCCCCCCAGTGACGATGCGCCAGTTCGACCACCCTCACATCGTGAAGCTGATCGGAGTCATCACGGAGAACCCCGTCTGGATCATCATGGAGCTGTGCACACTCGGAGAGGTACCACGTGCTTGGGCCTGCCCCGCGCGGGCCGGCCGCCAGTGCAGGCTGTCTCATGCTGAGCAGTCACTCGGTCTGCGCTCGCTGTGGGTGTCCCCTGTTTAAGGAAAGGAAGTCCAGGATGCGCACAGAGCCTCGGGGTTTTGATTCAGAGAGCATGAGTATCATGCCTTCATCATTAAGTCCCCAAGCGAGTCCCTCAGCCGAAGGTGTCAGGACTGCAAGCTGCAGGCCACCAGGTGCTGCTGCCTGCCCTCCGATGCTGTTGCCTGAGGAACTAGCCCAGTGATTCGAGGATGAAAGAAGCAATGTTAATGGGGTTTGGGTAAATTAATGCAGAATTTAGGTAAATCTGCACAGTTCCTTAATCTTCTAGAGAATTCACCTGGCAGAGGCTTAGACTGACTAACATTAGTCACAGTTTCTCTTTAAAATGTGAGTAAGAGTGTGAACAGCTTTCCTCATCCGACCTTCTCCAGAGTACAGAAACTAACTCTTTAATCACCTGGAAACCTGGTAGAAATGCAAATCCTTGCGCCCCGCCCCAGCCCTGCTGAGTCAGACCCTGGGCGGTGGCCTGGGCCCAGCACCTACTTATCATCTGCAGGCCACAGGTGGCCCTGTGGCTGGCCAGCTTGGGGATAAGCACAAGTGGATTTTTCAGATACCTAAACTTAATGTTCTGGTACTGAAACTCCGTCGCTTAACCTTCTAGAGTAGGACACACAGTCTGTCCTTTTAAAGGGTACCGGACACGGATTGGCTGTTCACGAGTATTGGGGTTGCCCGTTACCAGGAGCCAAAGTGAAGTTTGGGTCTTCGGTCCCCTTCATGGCGGCCTCAGCCCTCCCCACCGAAGGGCCCTGCCCAGTGGCCCTCGAGCCCTCCTCCCCGTGCGGTGACAAAGTCCCCAGAGGGAGGAGGGAGCTTCAGGCTCCCCAGTGTCTCGTCCTCCTCTGCACCACCTTTCTGGATACGATGGAGTATTTACCTCATTTTTACACTTTTTCTGCTTTTGCTTTTGAAGAATTTGCTAATTCTTCTGGGTTAAAAAACTTGCTAAATGTTTCTCCTTTTTTTTTTTTTTTTTTTTTGGAGTGTTAAATTCCTCTGCCTTTCTTTGCTCTGTTACCATTTAGCTGAATTAATCATGGGTGATGGGCTAAGTACCCAACACGTGACCATTTTGTCTTCCTGTCCCCGAAAGCCCATGGGGGTGGGAGGGAGAATGCTTCCTGCCTCTCCTCCCTCCTCGTCACCTGTCCTCAGATCTGCCTGGGACCTGGTGAGGTTTGGAGCAGGGCGAGCTGGCCGTGCTTGCGTGTTGGGCTTCTTTGAATGGTAACTGGATGTTTCTGTTCTCCAACTATTATTATTTAGCAGTATTTTATAGTATGCTTTTTGTTCATTCCCTGGAAGCATCTTTCTGTATTTTTTTTTCCCAGAAATTTGTCTACAGTCATGAAGAATCCAATTTTAAAAAGGGATTCCAAATAAAGAACGACTAACCATAATTTCTGAGCTAGTATGCTTCATTCGTTATGGTTTCTGTCATTACTGTCATTAGGGGAGAACCGAGGCCCTGCTTATGAAAACCGCGTTAGGAAATAGGCGGCATCGTTGTTGACTGTGGCTCCTTTGCGCTGATTTTGAGTCCCTGTCACTAATCCTTTTTCCTTCTCCTCTCGGCTGCTGCCCCGAAGCTGCGGTCGTTCCTGCAGGTCAGGAAGCACAGCCTGGGCCTGGCGTCGCTGGTGCTGTACGCCTACCAGCTGGGCACGGCCCTCGCCTACCTGGAAAGCAAACGATTCGTGCACAGGTGGGTCCAGGCGTCCCGCCGCTCCGCCGCCTTCGTAGCACGCAGTGGAGAAATGGGGGGGGCCCTTTGTACCCCCCGGCTCGATCGCACACGGTGCCGGCGTGTCGCGCTGCGTGTGTCCCAGCCGAGTGAAGTGTCGTGGCATGTTGACACATGCGTCTAAAGGGTCTGTCTTCACGAGGAGTTGGAAATATCTCGTTGCTCTCGGATCAGTTATTCCTTCCACAAAAACTACTGGGAGCCGGTACGCGGCACTAGAGCAGTGGACTGTGGTCCTGAAACAGATTGTCCCAGGCCTTAGTGTCACAGGTGACATCTAAGGGCATTCTTTGGAATTTTCGATTATAACTTGGGCCTCTAGTGTGAATGGAAGTAAAAGCCCTTACAGTCCGTTGGCCCGGTTTGTGTCGAGTTTTGTTATCCAGCGTTAGCACAGACCGCATCGGCAAACGTACTTACAGGTGTTCAGAAGGTGACTTTTACTCTATTTAATGATGTCTCTTGGGAACAGCACGGTTACAGACCATGGTTGTGTATCCCTGTCTGTCAGTAGTGAGGTTGGTTGTGGGAAAAGTAATGACGGTTTCATTATTTGATGATAAACTTTGCCATCATTCAAAATACTGATTATCCTGTTAATGACTAAATATCTGCCATAAAGAATACATTTGAAGTAAAATAATAAAAGTATCCAATTTTGGAGTATATGATAAATTTCTCGTCTTTCAAAGTACCTATATGTCTTCATATAATGTGGATGAGTTTGTGATTTATTTGCCTTGTGTTAAAATTTATTGTCCCAAATTCTTCCTGATCAGGGACATTGCTGCTCGGAATGTTCTGGTGTCCTCAAATGATTGTGTGAAATTAGGAGACTTTGGATTGTCCCGCTATATGGAAGACAGTACCTACTACAAAGGTAAGAAATCACTAATAATAAGAAGCAGACTCAGGGTCGTTAATGATTTTTATTTCTTAAGATGTTTTTAAGACACATGCTCAGCTGATTGTTGGCAGGTGTAAAGTCAGCTCGGTGGAGGAAGGCCGGGCTTTTCAGCAGACGGTGCGGTGCTGGAGTGTTGGTAATCCACACGCAGTAACTGGACCGCAGCCCGAACCCCACTCCACACCAACTCGAGATGGATCACACTCAGTTACAAAATGTAGGACTTCTGGGAAGAGACATAGGAGTACATCTCTGATATCTAGGGCTAGGCGAAGAGTCCTTAGACTCGACACCAAAAGTATGATCAATAAGAGGAAAAAACTGATAGATTCAGCCTCATCAAAATTAAAAGTTTTTGTCGTGCAAAAGACCATGTTAAAAAGATGAAAAGACAAGCTACAGAGTGGGAGAAAATCTTTGCCAACCTCATATCTATCCAACAGGAACTAGTATCTAGTATCTAGAATGTAGAAATAACTTTTAACACTCAAGAGTTAAAGCAACAAGATAGGAAATGGGCAGAAGGTACAAGGAGAGATTTTACTGAAGACGCATGGTTGGCGAGTAAGCGCGTGGTCCGTGAGGGCGACGCAAGTCTAGGCTGCAGTGAGACGCCATTGCACACTCATCAGAGTGGCTAAAATAGGAAACAGTGCTAATCCCCAGTGCTGGCCAAGATGCGGAGAGACTGAATCACTCGTAAGTCGATGGTGAGGATGTGAAACGGGACAGCCCCTCTGGAAAAGAGTTTTGCCGATTCTTAAAAAACCAAACATGCAACAGCACTACAGCCCCCTGATGCTCCTGGGCCTTTCTCTGGAGAACTGAAAATGTAAGTTCACACGAAGCCTGTATTTAAATGTTCTAGCTGATTTCTAGTAGCCAAAAATTAGAAGCAGCCCAGGTGTCCTTCAGCCGGCGGACGTGGTTAGAGACCTCGCAGCAGGCGGAGTTGTGTGCGCCAGCCTGGTGAGAGGCGCCCGCCTTACAAATCTGCAGCCACCTAACTCCAGAGACTGGTCCATGACCTCTAGTTCCTGTGATTTTTCTTTAATTTTGCTAATCTTGGAATCAGATCGAATTGCTTCTTCAAATTATTATTCGACACGCGTTTTAATAAGTTTCCACATTCCTAGCACTTTAGCTAAGACTCACAGTATGCATCCATACCATGCTGTTAGTATGCATTCTCATTATTACTACCATTTTACAAAGACCAGTTTCTTGCTCAGTTTGTTTGACTTTTCTGTTTTATGCTATAGCTCGGGACTGTTCTCTTTCCATACGCTTTCTGCGTACTGCAGCCTGAAGCAGTTTTAGCAGTGATCCTTTGTTATGTGAAAAGAAAATTATTTGGTTATCTATTCAGTTTGGTTATTTAAGTCACTTAACAAGAAAACGGCCGAGTCAGCTGTCCACTGTTTTAAAATAGTTCACGTCCAGCTCAAATCCTAACTAGTCCAAGTCTTGGAATTCTAGTACAAAGCTAAACTCCAAACAGTGGGGTGGCCGAAGCCACCTGTCACTTAGCATTTACAAGGACAAACACAAACTTACATTGTCATCTTGGAAAGGTAGCGAGCTTGGGTCTATTGGGCTTCGGGAGAATAACCCTAAAGGTTTGGGAGCCTTCAGTTCTGGGCACAGTCGTAGGATAGTTTTGAAGGAATCAAACAGGATTCGACCTCGGTTTGTCATGAAAGTGCTTGAAGTTAAATGGAGAAAAGTAAACAGGACAAATGTCACTGTCCCCAGATGAAAGCCTCCAGAGGCCCCCTCTGCCTGCGGAAGGAAGTCCAGACCCTTGACAGTGGGCAGGGCCCCTGCTCCAGCCCGCCGGGCTGGGCCTTGTTCCCCTGCCTTGGTGCCCCCTGTTCCTCTTTGTCCCCTCCCCCAGGCTGCCCTGACAGGCTCTTGGTCACAGTTTCCCTCTGCTTCCAGGGCACTTGGCACGTATTCAGAATCTCCGTCACACCCAAGACACTGCTCCTACCTTCTGGAATTAGAATTCCTGGAGGAAAGGCGTCCCGTCCCGGGCAGTCCTCCTGTCCCCCGGCAGGCAGAGGACTGTCTAGCGAGGCTATGAGTCGTTCCCTTTGCAGCACCAAGGGAGAATTTGGGCCCCTGGAGGGGCTGCGCCAGGCCTTCCTAAGGAGTATTCTTTTCCATTCCGTTGCCCCCCCCACCCCCGCCACCCCCGGTCTTCACATACTGGTGAAGGTGCAGTCAGCCCTTGTGATTTGTGGATTCTGTGTTTGCACGTTCGCCTCTGCACTAACATTTGTCACACCCCAAATCAGTACTCGCGATGCTTTCGTGGTCACGTGTGGACGTGCAGGGCAATGAGAAGTATGTCCCTCCCAGCTGGAGGAGGGAGACGGGCGGCCCATCAGCACAATGTAAGCACCTCTGGCTCTGGGACAGCTGGCCAGGTTTAGGTGTCCTCCTTCCTGGCACCTGCTGGTGCGGTGGCCTTGGGCAGGTCACGTAACACACTTGTGCCTCATTTCTAAGAGAAGAGTAGCTGCCAGGAGAGGTCGTTGTGGACTGAAGACGACCTCCGTGAGATGCGTGTGTGCACGTCCACGTGTCCCCAGGCTTCAGTGCTCGGCGTTTGAGCAGGGGAACGGACTGTGTCCTAGCGGGCCAGCCCCAAAGCGCGGCATCCGGCCCGTGCGTTAGCGTCCGGCCTGCGAAACCGCCAAGCCGGTAACCGAGCTGCAGGCCGATTCCTCCGGCGGACGGGGCGCGCTCTCCTCCCTGCGCCCCGCCTTTCTCCAGAGAGACGAGGACGGCAGTGTTTTCTGTCCCTGCCCCAGCGTGACCACTCTCCCCCAGACGACCTCTGGATATCGAGGAAAGGAGAAATACTTCTCCTAAAGAAGCGGAAAGCCCCAGGGGTCATATATTTAAAGCTTATATTTTGTTACTAAAAAAAATCTCAGCTAGTTCTAGCTGTTAGATTCTTCAGCAGATCACAAGGAAAATTCACTTTCTAAAATTAATCTTCTAGCTTCCAAAGGAAAATTGCCTATTAAATGGATGGCTCCAGAGTCAATCAATTTTCGACGTTTTACCTCAGCTAGTGATGTGTGGATGTTTGGTGAGTATTCTGAAGTTTTGTGTTTTTCCATCTTGCACACATTCTACAGAACACCCGAGCGTCCTTTCTCTGCGGAGTGTGTGGGCTGGTTCGCCTTCCCGCGCCCGCCCGTCGCCTTCGCCAGTCGCCTCTTGGCTTCGTGGGACGGTCGCGGCGCTCGCACGCGCGCTGGCTTCCGGGCGCGGCTTCCGCGGCGTCCCTCTGTTCTGCGTCCTCTTCCGTGGCTCCTCCCTGTTGTGTGTCTGCCTCCCTTCTCCCCTCGCGGAGAGAGACACCTTCCTTCCCGATTCCTTCTCCCCTCGCGGAGAGAGACACCTTCCTTCCCGATTCCTTTTTCCCATCTTGCCCGTTCTTTTTGCGCGAACGGCTTTACGTAGTCAACCTGTCTGCCCGGTTCTGTGACCCCCCAAACCCGGGCTGTCCGAAGTCGCACCTCAGCCCTTTGTCTGGGCTCTGACCTCGCTCTCTGTCTCGGGCCTCGGAAGTTTGCCCCTTCATCTTCTGTGGCTTTACCTCTTTGATGTCTAGTCTGCCCCGTCCCGCTTGCTCCAAGTCGGTCACCGTCGTCGTCCTCTGCTCCGTGAGTCATTGCGGCTCCTTCCGACGAGTGCAGACGTGTGGCTCTCATCCGCTGTGCACTTTCTTCAACTACTTTATCTGCGTTTTAACATTACTGATGCTTTATAACATGGATGCCGTGCCCTCCCCCACCCGCCTTCCTGCCAGGAGCACCTGTCCGTAAACGCTCTCCTCCGGCTGGCGTCCTCTCTGCCACACCTTCAAGATCACCTGAAATGTCCCATTGCCGTGAAGCCAGACATAACAACTCCCTTTCCGTGCGTCTCTGCACTTTCTCTCTCTGTCGTAACGCTTCCGTCGGTCCTGTGAATAGTCTCGTGCGTATATTCCGTCAAATTTTAAACTGCTTCCGAGTGGTAGTGGGTTTACATACCTTTTTCCTAGAAATAAAAACAACTTTATACACATCAAGTCTCTGTTCTTATTCTTTCTTCTGTTTACTTGCTGTTGATCTTTAGTAACTAGTGTTGGTGCCTTCATTAATACCAGAAACAGGAAGGAAGTCTTCAGTGGAACAGGAAGTAGTGTGACGTGGCAGAAAAGGCTCCGGACGCCACCTGATGTGGCCTCAGTTCCCAAGACCTCACTCGTTAGCTGTGTGACCCAGAGAGCAATTTTCTTATTCTTTTAAAGAAATTCCAGATTTCAGAGATTCTGAGATGCCTGTTTTTCTACATTTTAACATTTTTGATGCTGGTATGTGTTGCAAATCCGTGGCATTTCACCTTTGGTGTTAATTGGGGGCATGTTTTATGTGGCGGCCTTGAAGACTTGGTCTGTTTTGTTCCTACTGCTATTAATTTCTTCTCTGGATGAGTTAAGAGAGCTCTTTGGTAAGAATAAAATAATTCTAAGAGGTAACAAAGGATTCTGTCACAGTTTAGGTGGCAGCATCCCCCCCTTTGGTCATATAAAAGAATGGTGTATCTTATGTAATGGCGGCATCTTAAGGTTGATAAATATAGTACTTAAATATAAGGCGTGAGAATTAAGGACTACACCTGTCCACTCGTGAGTGCCGGAGATACACCAAGGTCGCACAAACTGAGACCTGGTATGCTCTGATAACGGCATGACTTCTGGTGAGCAAAGCAGGACTAAGGCGTTCTTTCTGTCGCGCACTGTCCACGTGGGGATGATCACACTCTGGGCTTTGATTCCATTGCACGTGAGTGTGCGCCTCGCCTCTGTGGAGGCGCGCACCGTTTTGGGGCTGAGGATGCGGGAGGAAAGCCGCAGCTGCTCTCGGGGTGCATGCACACTTATGACGCAGGAGAGGTGGGGTCGCCCCAGGAGGGTCAGGAGACGCACGCAGGCGCCCCCAGACGGCCCTAAAAAGAGGAGACTGTGTGAAGAAGAAAATCAAAAGGCATAAAGTTAGAGGCGTGAACATGAGCAAAGGCACATTCGTGGCATGTTCGGGCAGCAAGGTCTCCGGCGGGGCCAAAGTGCCGAGGGGGTTAGACGCCGCCAGGAGAAAGCCACCCCCGTGGCTGCCGGCGCTGTTGCGGTTCCCTTGTCGTTAGGTTAAATGGTGCAGGTAACTTTTTTGAGGTTGGTCGTGGACTTTGTGGGCGAGAAGTCCCAAACGTTCCTGTGGGAAACGTGATGACTGATGAGTGGCTGAGCCAGGTGGTGATGCCAGTGTGTCCCCTGGGTCTGGACCAGCCAGCTCAGAAAAGGCAACTTTAAAGGGACCTGAGCGTTCTGGAAGTGTACGGCTTATGTTTTGGGATCGTCTTCGGTGGACCTCCGGCCAGCTGCTGTGGTCGTGAGCAGGCGGGACAGATGGCGCTCAGTCTGGGATTCCTCCTGCTCGTTGTGAACCGGTGCATCAAGCCAGGAAGGGCCCCTAGAGCTGCTGGGCCGTTTTCTGACACAGGATTTTTAGAGAAGTAAACCTTTCGAAAAATGACGGTTTTTCCTCTGATAAGTTCGTATTTCAGTAGTCACACGGTGGTAGATTAGTGTTGCCGTTCGCATTTCGCAAGAGGTCCTCGCACGCTGCGCTACGCAGCCGATTGCCCCGAGGCCCACGGCGGCTGCCCCCGCTAAGCGCGCTGTCTGTGTTCACCGTTCCCCAGGCGTGTGCATGTGGGAGATCCTGATGCACGGCGTGAAGCCTTTCCAGGGCGTGAAGAACAACGACGTGATCGGCCGGATCGAGAACGGGGAACGGCTGCCGATGCCTCCAAACTGCCCTCCGACGCTCTACAGCCTCATGACGAAGTGCTGGGCCTACGACCCCAGCAGGCGGCCCCGGTTCACCGA